ACTGTCACTGACAACAAAAGATATGACAGTCACTGTGAATTCGTTGACAAAGTATCCTGATGAGTTTCATGGTAGCTTTTCCTGGCTAGTTATTAGTATTAGTAACAACTGCAAAACAAGCTTGTGAAACATTGATATAAAGCTTTGTGATGTGGTTTTGTAGGCCATGTGCATAGCAAAGTTTTAAAGAAGTGTAAGAAACCCTTTCTAACTCTTTGGAATAGCCTCTGTAAAAATTGTAAAACACACCTAGCAGAATTTAGCAATGCATATGGTTATTGCAATTGCATCATATATATGCAAAGGAATCCTCTTTGAAGTAGCTTCCATTAATTAAGTGAACCAGGGTGTTCCCCAACCATTTAAAAATTGTGTTCTTTAAACAGAACTCCTGTTGTTGAGATGAAAGGACAAAGTACTTGTTTATATCATCTCTTCTGACACAAGTAGTCTCTTGATTGTAATCTGAGGAGATTTTCATGTTTTGTCCATTTTGAGGAAATGTCCAGTAACTGCCAATTTGTCAGTTAAAACCAAGCTGCTGATTTACTGATTTACTTTATAGCTTTACATTTTCGCTAAGACATATGATAGACTACAGAATTTTAAAAAATGATGCAGTCATACAGCATAAGACATCCAAAACAGCATTTGTTTTAATCATTTATTTTGGGCAAAGAAGTTCCTGAAACTGCTGGTGAGCTAATAGTGTAATCCTAAACTGAGTTACATCCTTCTAATCCATTGACTTCAGTGGACTTAGAAGGATGTAACTGGTTAGGATTGTACTATAAAACTCCTGATGAAGTTTTGTTTTGAGCACTTATTTTATTAGGCAGCAGCTGTAGCTATGTGTGTAGAGATTTTCAAAAGTGTCTGAATTTACCTGCCATTTAAAAGGATGTAAATAAGATACTTGAATTTCATTAAGAGCTTTTGTCTTTCTTTGGGTCACTTTCTTTCCTTTTTTAGATTCAGAAGCGCAAACCTTGAAAGAGCACCTAATTGATGAGTTGGACTATGTGTTGGTTCCTACTGAAGCTTGGAATAAATTAATAAACTGGTATGGCTGTATCGAGGGACAACAGCCAATTGTCAGAAAAGTAAGTGTTCATTATCCTTGGGTGATTTACCCTAACTGTATAAGGCCACTTTCTCCAGCCATCCCCTGCCTTGAGCTCAACAGCATAAAGATGAGATATAAATATAGGTGTCACTTCAGGTAATTCCTCTAGGCGTGTTGCATTGTCCTGAAGATCTCTTAATGCAGAATACTTCTCTTTGGAATAGTGTGGCATAAGTTTCCTGGAGGCTGCATAAAACATTCTTTTATAGCCACCCATTAGCTAATGTAAAACAGGGGAGTGGGGGTTGTTCTGCTGCTTAGATATTAAAATAGATTTCAGTCTGAAGTCATATGCTAAGGGCCTCTTCACCCATGACATTCTTGTGGTGTTGATTTCCTAAAAGTTGTGTATGTTGCAGAATAAACACACTGACTTCACAGAAGGTAGTATGCATGTGTTTTTCAGATATGAAAATTGGGAAAAAACATTGTCACGTTACTGTAAGAGTATGATTTTATGTATGTGAAGTATATAGTGGGTGGACTTACTTAACAAAAGATGTTCCTTGGATTCCCTTGATATGCTACTATACCTAGGTTGAATAATCCCATATTGTGCTCAAAGAAATATCAAAGATATTTTAAAAGCAAAGTAACAGATATGTGATTTGTTGTATAGCTCTTCAGAAGTTCCTATGCTTGTTGGTAGTGGAATGATTTTTTTTGTAATCTCCAGTAGTTTAGAGAGCAATCCTAAAAAAGGTCTATATAGAAGTAAATCCCATGTTATTCAGTCAGATTTACTCTCAGAAAACCATCCTTAGGATTGCAGCCATAGATAAGTGTTTGTTATTTATGTAAAACCTTAAATACACCAAAAGCTTTTAAAGTAAAACTTTCCATCCAGCAGATGTAAAACACATATTTTATAGCAGTTACTTTTGTAGACTTAACAATGCTTTTAATTAAGATTTTCCAATGCTTACCATGTTCCTTGACATCCCTACTGCTGCATATGCTGGGCATTTTGCTGGACTGGTGCCTTGTAAGGTAGTCCTGAAGGAGGTTTAATAAGTTGTGTAGATGTGGCAGAGATACTACAGACTACACTTGAGGGCCCTAAAGCATCCGTGAAGTATAAAGTGGAAGGGCACCCTGTTTTTGTATTTTAAAAAATGTTCTTGGATTACTATGTCAAAATGTAACTTCAAAAGAAGATGCAAAATGTATTGGATGTTTCAACATGCTGTTGTTTCCAGAATTTCCTTCAGCGTTCCAAAAGGGCTTAGAAAAGGACTTCAAAGCATTGCGGTGGTGGGGTTTTCAGAAGCCCATTGGTTGACAGAGGAGAATTACCTGTAGCTTGTGCCCTCAGCTAATTTGTTTCTATCTTGACTGAAAATCAAGCCTGCAGTTTAATTCAGTGGAGCTTATTTCCAAGTAAACATACTCCGTATCAGGCTGTAACTGGATTATCTAAAGTCAGATAGCTAGTGGTTCAGCTGGGGTTAGTGAAGTTTTTTTGTTTCTACGTACCAAGGTGAGATAGAAAGGTTTAAAGACAGGAGCCAGTCAGTTTAGATTGTGATAGTTTTATTAGCAATAAATCAGTACAACTACCTGGATAGTTGTACCTGCTTTACAGAAAATCTTTTCTTCATAGGTTGTGGAGTATGGTCTGTTTGTGAAGCACTGCAAAGTAGAGGTTTATCTTCTGGAGCTGAAACTGTGTCAGAACAGTGACCCTGCTAATCTTGTGAGCTCTTATTTCAGCAAAGCAGACACTGTTGGTAAGTAATGCTTGTTAACTTTGCTGAACATTTTAGAAGCAGCCACTGTTAGTATCCTCCAAAACTGAACAGGAGTCTTGGAGCATCTTAGACATTTTTTAAATCTTTAAGATGCAACAAGGGTCTGGTTTGTTTTGATGCTAGCATTTCTGCCTTGCTGGAATTAGTCCCATTCAGTAATTTGTTAGAGAACTAAATGGGACAAATGAACTTTATATACTTTTTCTCATTCTGTTTTAACATGTTACTGAAAATAGCTTGTTCTCCCATCTGTGAAGCAGAAAAGAAGAAGAGTCCAATAGCACATTGAAGACTAACAGAGCTACCTATCTTGATCTGTCTGCATTTGTGAAGTTGAATATGTTGTTTCTTTGATGTTGCTTTTATACAATCATAGTTATCATTTTATCATTCTTCCTGGGAACTGAATACTGGATTTCAGATACTGTCCTTTCTGTTGGAACGGTTCTGCCTTTATACTGATACTTTTAGAAGCATATACTTCATTAACCAAACCACAATTTGTTTGTGAGTTGAATGAACCTCCATTCCGCAAGCTTGTGTACTTCCTTTCTGCTCACATTGAGTGTGTGATGAAGTGACACGTCACCCAATCTGTAAGAATTTTCTGCTTCACTTTATGAGTGTTGAGTTTATACTCTGTAAATGCTCCCTGGTTAAGCTCCAACTTACAAGTTGTCTATAACCAGCTCTCCTCCCTCCCCCTTACTCAGTTCTTTCTGAATTCCAGGCTGGCTAATTTGGTTGCTGTAAAGCTATTAGTATACTAATGAGGAAAAGTTGCCTGGCAGCAAGTATGCTGTAGAGATTGGGAAGCCTCATAGTGATCAAATACTTCCAGCCTTTTCCCTTCCTGGTGAAGTTGCAGAGGTAGGGATATGGGGAGAAGGGCTCCCTTTCAAATGGGGGTGCAGCCATTCTGACAGGCAGGGTTTTGTTGAGATCATAAGGAGATACGTGAAGAGACTTTGTTAGGACTCTGAAGGGGGGAGACGCTGGCACAGGGTCAGAAGAGAGATGATCACCAGATGAAGAAGAAAGTAATATGAAATATCAGAGCTAGAACATCAAACCTGGGGCTCTTAAGATATTTCTGCCTATCTTTCCAACATCACAGAGATAAGTTGTAGAGCTAAGGAAAGAGGATACAGATATATGTATAATTTTCTCTATGATCAGATGCTGTAGTATTTTACTGTTCAGTTGAATGCTTTTACTAGCTGTATTCATTTATTACTTTTATTCTTTAAGATAAAACTTTTTTTTCTGAAATTGAAGTTAATTTGGTCTTTTCAACCATGGAAAAAAACTCATGTTCTGGCTCACATCTATCAAGGTATGCAAGATATGCATAGGCACAGTTAGTAATATATTTACCAGTGGAAACAAGTCAATGTGTGCATGCCCTTAGTGTAAGACATTTCTCTTCAGATATACAGCATGTAAGACTTTGTGTTTTTTCTTAACAGCTGCCATTGAAAAAGAAATGAGAAAGCTGTTTAATATCCCAGCTGACAAGGAGATTAGGCTATGGAGCAGATATATGAGTAATACTTATGAGCAGCTAAGCAAACTTGACAGCACTATACAAGATGCGGGACTCTATCAGGGACAGGTAAAATGCTAATCACTCCTAGTTGTTTTTGGAAATGAATACAGGCTGGGGGCCTGCAGTGGTAGAGCAGCGGCGACAGTTTGGAAATATCATCCTACATCCCAAAAACTGTCACTTCAGGGACTTGTGAAAGCTGAGTTCTCCTCTTCTCTACTTTCCTTTGGTTGGCACTTGGCTACTTTCCACATCCTGTCCCTTCTGGAGCATATTTAGTCATCATAAGCATAAGTCACATTTTCCTGTATAAGCTTCTGCTTAGTCTAAGTTTGCAGCTTTTCTCATGCACACAGGGTCCAGACACAGTGGCCCAGGAGGATCTGCAACAAAAATCCCTAATGGGATTGGTTGTTTGGTCTGTTATCTAGCAGGGCAACAGGAAAACCCCAGGAGCAACAGAAATGTAGGAGCCATGCAATACTCATTTGGGTGGGTCTGGGGAAGGTCATAAAAGTAAATATCATACTTTTTCTTTCCCCATAAACTTTTGCCACCATCTGCTATGCTGTGATAAAACATTCAGATTATAGACGGTCTACCCCAGCCTACTTTAAGAGTGTGGGGTTGGAGGTTTAAATCCATACAGCCCTGCTGATAACCGTGGATCTGAGCCCTTTATCACAAAATAGTAGAGGATGGAGATTTCTTGAAAGGGGAAAATATTTTTCCCTTTCTTTCAGCCAAACCTTCCCCCACTCAACTGGAGAGAGACTTTCCTACTTTTCTCCATGGTATGGTGAAGGAATGAGCAATCTCTCTGCTTTGGTCTAGACCTCTGAGAAGCTCTGACAGCAGGGAGACTGAGTCCTTCTCCCTCCTTCAGGTGATGGGGAAAAGTAAAGAAATATCTTTTTTCATCATGGAGATGTTGAAAGTAGGAGCTTTTCTTTGCTTTTCAAAGTTCTCCAATGGTATAAAAGCCTGAGTTTTTTCCAGGCTTGAGAGATAGATAAGGACCAGACTTCAGCCTACTGACAACCAGGAAGAGTGAGAGCTTTCACATACACACAGGCCTTAGTTGGTTTTTGAGGAGTTTTGCCCTCTTTGGGGTAGTGAAGGAGAAAGTGGGTATTTTTTAGGCTGCCTGGCGTATGGAGAAACCTCTCTCTTTCTTGTGTCTTGCCCTGTAGTGCTGTTTTTATTATCCATGCAGGGGTTAGGCCAGGGGTCCCCAACATGGTGCCTGTGGATGCCGTGGTAGTCAACAAGTGCTTTTAGAAAGTGGGAGGTGTTAAGTGGGGTTTCAGCGTTCCAAAAGGGCTTAGAAAAGGACTTCAAAGCATTGCGGTGGTGGGGTTTTCAGAAGCCCATTGGTTGACAGAGGAGAATTACCTGTAGCTTGCCTTCAAAGCATTGCGGTGGTGGTGGTGGTGTTTTCAGAAGCCCATAGGTTGACAGAGGAGAATTACCTGTAGCTTGTGCCCTCAGCTAATTTGTTTCTATCTTGACTGAAAATCAAGCCTGCAGTTTAATTCAGTGGAGCTTATTTCCAAGTAAACATACTCCGTATCAGGCTGTAACTGGATTATCTAAAGTCAGATAGCTAGTGGTTCAGCTGGGGTTAGTGAAGTTTTTTTGTTTCTACGTACCAAGGTGAGATAGAAAGGTTTAAAGACAGGAGCCAGTCAGTTTAGATTGTGATAGTTTTATTAGCAATAAATCAGTACAACTACCTGGATAGTTGTACCTGCTTTACAGAAAATCTTTTCTTCATAGGTTGTGGAGTATGGTCTGTTTGTGAAGCACTGCAAAGTAGAGGTTTATCTTCTGGAGCTGAAACTGTGTCAGAACAGTGACCCTGCTAATCTTGTGAGCTCTTATTTCAGCAAAGCAGACACTGTTGGTAAGTAATGCTTGTTAACTTTGCTGAACATTTTAGAAGCAGCCACTGTTAGTATCCTCCAAAACTGAACAGGAGTCTTGGAGCATCTTAGACATTTTTTAAATCTTTAAGATGCAACAAGGGTCTGGTTTGTTTTGATGCTAGCATTTCTGCCTTGCTGGAATTAGTCCCATTCAGTAATTTGTTAGAGAACTAAATGGGACAAATGAACTTTATATACTTTTTCTCATTCTGTTTTAACATGTTACTGAAAATAGCTTGTTCTCCCATCTGTGAAGCAGAAAAGAAGAAGAGTCCAATAGCACATTGAAGACTAACAGAGCTACCTATCTTGATCTGTCTGCATTTGTGAAGTTGAATATGTTGTTTCTTTGATGTTGCTTTTATACAATCATAGTTATCATTTTATCATTCTTCCTGGGAACTGAATACTGGATTTCAGATACTGTCCTTTCTGTTGGAACGGTTCTGCCTTTATACTGATACTTTTAGAAGCATATACTTCATTAACCAAACCACAATTTGTTTGTGGGGTGAATGAACCTCCATTCCGCAAGCTTGTGTACTTCCTTTCTGCTCACATTGAGTGTGTGATGAAGTGACACGTCACCCAATCTGTAAGAATTTTCTGCTTCACTTTATGAGTGTTGAGTTTATACTCTGTAAATGCTCCCTGGTTAAGCTCCAACTTACAAGTTGTCTATAACCAGCTCTCCTCCCTCCCCCTTACTCAGTTCTTTCTGAATTCCAGGCTGGCTAATTTGGTTGCTGTAAAGCTATTAGTATACTAATGAGGAAAAGTTGCCTGGCAGCAAGTATGCTGTAGAGATTGGGAAGCCTCATAGTGATCAAATACTTCCAGCCTTTTCCCTTCCTGGTGAAGTTGCAGAGGTAGGGATATGGGGAGAAGGGCTCCCTTTCAAATGGGGGTGCAGCCATTCTGACAGGCAGGGTTTTGTTGAGATCATAAGGAGATACGTGAAGAGACTTTGTTAGGACTCTGAAGGGGGGAGACGCTGGCACAGGGTCAGAAGAGAGATGATCACCAGATGAAGAAGAAAGTAATATGAAATATCAGAGCTAGAACATCAAACCTGGGGCTCTTAAGATATTTCTGCCTATCTTTCCAACATCACAGAGATAAGTTGTAGAGCTAAGGAAAGAGGATACAGATATATGTATATCATTTTCTCTATGATCAGATGCCGTAGTATTTTACTGTTCAGTTAAATGCTTTTACTAGCTGTATTCATTTATTACTTTTATTCTTTAAGATAAAACTTTTTTTCCTGAAATTGAAGTTAATTTGGTCTTTTCAACCATGGAAAAAAACTCATGTTCTGGCTCACATCTATCAAGGTATGCAAGATATGCATAGGCACAGTTAGTAATATATTTACCAGTGGAAACAAGTCAATGTGTGCATGCCCTTAGTGTAAGACATTTCTCTTCAGATATACAGCATGTAAGACTTTGTGTTTTTTCTTAACAGCTGCCATTGAAAAAGACTCCTACCTCTACATTTGCTGAATAAAGGAGGGGATTGTGGAGTTTTTAATGTGTGTGTGCTTGTAGGTTTTTTTTGAGAGGGGGGGGAGAACATCTGGCTGCAGTCAAATGGCAATTCTGTTAGTGGCCTGCTGTTGGTAGTGAGGAGTAAGCCTTATTTAGTAATTTATTATTTTGTTCATTTATTTACTTCATTTGTACCCCACCTTTCTCCCCAGTGGGGGCCCAAAGCAGCATACATCATTCGCCTCTCCTCCATTTTTCCTTCATGACAACTCTGTGAGGTAGGTTAGGCTGACAGTGACTGGCCCCAGGTCATCCAGCAGGCTTCCATAGAATGGGGATTAAAACCTGCATCTTCCAGATCCTAGTATGACACTCTAACCACTACACCAGACTGGCTCGTTGTGAAAGAGGATGAGTGGGAGGAAGGTGGGAGAGGTGAACTCTTTATTGTGATATAGCATCTTGAGACCTTGGTCAGTTGATTAAATCCCTAATTCCTCATGGTAAAAACAAGGGCCTATGGGGTTGTTCTATCACTGAGTGCAGGGCTGCAATGGAATACTTTCTGGTTTAGAAAGTCTTTGGTTTAGCTCCAGTTTACTGTGATATCCAAATTCTGTTACTTAACAAATTGGGCCTGTCTTTTCCCCATTAATCAAAATGCTAAGCATGGTTCAATCCTGAATATTGTGACAAGCTGGATTTTAGTTTAGGTAGCTAAACTAAACGGGGAAGGGAGCTTGTAAGCCTGAGGATTTTAGTCTTATTCCCCTCATTAACAAACCACAAATGTCTGTGATGTTGAAATAGAATCCTAGATGCATTTTACTGAAACGGCTTTTCTTTAAAATGAAAATCCCATGTTTTCCAAAATTGTAATTGAATTCTGAATTTGCAAAAAATTAGTGTGCATAGGCACAGTTAGTAATATATTCACCAGTGCAAACAAGTCAATGTGTGCATGCCCTTAGTGTAAGACATTTCTTTTCAGATATACAGCATGGAACGGAGACGGTACTGGTCGCCCTTACTGACGACCTTCGTAGACATCTGGATCGGGGCGGCGTGGCAGCACTGTTGTTACTCGATCTGTCGGCCGCATTTGATACGGTCGACCATCAGTTGCTTGCCCGCCGCCTTGCCGATGTGGGGATTCAGGGGCTCGCCCTTCAATGGCTTGTCTCTTTCCTCCAAGGTCGGGGACAGAGGGTGGAATTAGGGGAGCAGCGGTCCCGGAGGTACCCGCTTGAATGCGGTGTGCCTCAGGGGGCAGTGCTCTCCCCGATGCTATTTAACATCTATATGCGCCCCGTCGCCCAGATTGTCCGGAGGTATGGGCTTGGGTGTCATCAATACGCCGATGACATCCAGCTCTATCTGATGTTGGGTGGCCAGTCGGACTCTGATCCAGAAGATCTGCATCGGGCGTTGCAGGCCGTATCTGGATGGCTCAGGCTGAGCCGGTTGAAGCTGAACCCGGCGAAGACGGAGGTCCTGTGTCTGGGCCGGAACGGGAAGGGACTGGGGCTCCCGCTCCCGACCTTTGATGGGGCGCCGTTGGTGCCAGCTTCGGAGGTTAGGAGTTTGGGAGTGCTCCTGGACTCCACCCTATCGATGGAGGCCCAGGTAGCAGCCACTGCCAAAGCGGCCTTTTACCATCTGCGGCTGGTGCGGCAGTTGGTTCCCTTTCTCAGCCGCGAAGACCTAGCCACAGTGATCCATGCGACGGTCACCTCAAGGCTAGACTACTGCAACGCTCTCTACATGGGGCTGCCTTTGTCGCTGATTCGGAGGCTGCAGCTAGTGCAGAATGCGGCGGCCAGGCTGGTTGCTGGTGTCTCGAAATGGGACCACATCCAGCCTGTGCTCA